CAGTATGTAGTATGGATTTAGGACATGGCGTTTGTTTCACTCAAAGACACTTCAGCGTGGGGGATCGTTGCCTTAGGCGCCATTTATCACTCTGATGAATTCAGTTTTAGCTGCCGACATTAGAGGGTTGGTTGTGGTCGTTTGAAGTGGAGCTGTGTGAAGTACTTACCCATAGTCAGTGTCTTACCTGCAGTAGACAGAGGTCAGTGTGCTCCCAGTGTTGAGAAGTAGACAGGAGTCCCAGAAGGGAAGCAGAGCTGTGCAGGGTCAGCAGAAAAATTTATTTTAGCTACATAAAAAAATACATTGGGGGATACATTTATACAGATTTTATGTAGATGGTTATTGAACGAGCTGAGGAAATGTACTGCCAGAGGAAAGGGCTGTCTGATTACAAGTGAAAGTTGACACAGGATCCACTTACTCGCTTCCTTTGGAGCTTTCGACCATCTCATATGGCCTTCATCAGCTCTTGAAGTTTGCTCTGTTGTCATGGTACTGTAGATGTTAAAGCTTTGCATGATTCTGAGCACCTGTAGGACTCTCTGTTGGTTTACAATTTCAGGTTCGTCCTTGACCTTGAAAGGAGCAGGTGACCAAAAAACAAAATCTTCATGCAAAGTCCTCACACTCTCTTTGTCGGGAGCTTTTTCACATGGCCTTCATCAGGATCATTAATCATTTGTCAACTGCTGTTTCCAAGGTCCAATGTGAACTGTCAAACCTGACGGCAGGATATCATTTTGGGAGGAGAAGGCAGGTTTTTTGAGGGTTATGCAGAATTTTTATGTCAAAATGCGGACAGGGGAATTGCTGTGGTTAAGAGAGTGATAAAGTCATTCTGGTGTCTAAATGGAAAATCCTTGGAAAAGCTTGTTAAAAAGAGTATGAGAGTTTTTTACATGGGGGATTAAACCTGTAACATCTGTGTTTCAGGACAAGGTCTCTAAACCTCGTCCACCACTGCCTCACAGCAGGCAGTAAAGCAGTGAAACCCGGGCCATACTGAAGAGACATTATGATGAATGAATCATCATCGTGTCTCTCCTGTGAAGGCTGCTGATAGTTGAAATAGTGTCTATTATTTATGGCTGCAGAAGCAAGACAAAGACTCCCGACCTCTGAACGGCAGCTCTATCAGAGGCGAGGCCGATGGAGAATGAGGACGCCGTTCTGAAAGAAAGAAGGGCAGTAAAACACGACTGCATGCACGTATGAACATTACGTGTTTGCTGCCCAGGACTGCAGGCTGCAAAACTGCATGAATTCAGAATTAAAGAGGCACACAGTCCAGCAGGGAGTGTGTGTGAATGCATGACAGTGAGACAGGAAGTCATATTAAACCTGCTCAATGGCTGAGTCATAGCTTAGTCTCTGCTGGATGGCTGTAGATGTATCAGCCCAAACACTCTTATTTATTCATGCACAGAGGGGAATGGCAATTGAATGGCACTCAGTGAATGAGCTAAACAGACAGATTGTTTGAAAAGTAGACACGGGATGAATGACTGCGGCGAAATACACTGTTGGAGAGATGAAGAGATAAAAAAAGACACAGGTATTCAATGAAGCAAACGATAAGGTTTTAAAGAGATTTTTTTTTTTTGTCTTTGATAACATAAAATGACCATGATGCATCACCCAGGCTTGACAGGATTCAATTAAAGCAGTGGTATAATGATTATCTAGCCAGGAAATTAGATTTCTGGCTTCCAAAATTCAACTCATCACCTGTTAGTGTCAAAATGCTCCCAGCCCTCCTAATATTGATGATTACTACCTACTTTCTTGATTTGCACGTCAAAAAACTTCTAGCTGTCTGTGTTGAAACCCGCTTTAATATATTTGAGAACACAGTGCCAAAAAAAAAAGGAAAAAAAAAAAAAGAAAAAAAATTAAAAAATGATGTTCCTTTTTCCGCTAAATTTATCATGTGAAGTCAGTTTGCAGGGGAGGTACTCCCTTTTCCCCCTTTTTTGGTGATTTTTGGGTTTTTTAAAAAAAAATATAAAAAAAAAAAAAAGATTGATTGAAGACTTTCTTCCAAAATGATATTCATGCCTATCTCCTGATACAATAGGAGTAGTTACCTCTGTCCAACAGACAGGTTGATGGCTTCGATGTAGAAATTATTGAAGTTAACTGGTGAAGATCGATAGCAGAAAAACAGTCTGAATATATATCTGAGTTTACATTAGTTAAAGTTCCTGAACTTGGAGAGCCACTGATAACTGTTGATGGCAGTTGGTGATTAATTTTCTCTCTAATAGTAATAATTTTATTATAAAAGAAGCGCATAAAGTCGTTGCTACTTAAGTTTATGGGGATATGTGACTCTCTGTCAGCCTGGCTACAGTGCTGAAGAGGAACCTAGGGTTATTCTTATTTTCTTCTATTAGTGCTGAGTAATATGCTCCTCTGGCGTTACGGAGGGCCTTTCTATAGGTTTTAAGATTATCTTGCCAAATTGAGCGATATTCTGATAATTTGGAAGAGCGCCATTTCCTTTCAGATTTCCTAGCTTTTTGCTTTAATTGGCGGGTTTGGTGGTTGTACCATGGTGCTAGTTTCCTATGTTTTAATAATTTCCTTTTTATAGGAGCGATAGAATCTAATGTTCTTCGTAGTGAGCCTGCAGCACTATCAACAAGATTATCAATTTTGGAGGGACTAAAGTTATTATAGGAGAATTCAGCCATGGCATTGAATTAAACACTAAAGGAATCTCCTCCTTATTGGTTATGAATATTATATTCCATTTATGCCAATAGATCCTCCTAAATATTACACATTGGACCTTTAAAATGTTGGTTGAAAGAGTCAGAATACCTACATCACTGAGGAGGATGATGGAGGTGAAAACAGGCCAGATTTGGTCTTAAAGCTGGATGAATAACAACATAACAATGCAATGTGAGCTTTGCGTCTCTGAGCTTTGTTGTGGGAAAGTGGATAAAAACGGCATGACTGAGCTTAATTAGTTGTTTTTTCTGCAAATGTTTTGTGCCGGGAATATTCTGTCTGCTATTAGCTTGCTCTGTGGTCTCTCTGATAGCTCAAACATTTGTATTTCTGTGTTGTTCAATGCTCGGATGTATAATTAATACACGGCGCCGCAACAGGGACACAACTAGAAACAAAATGGAAGGAGGGCGAGGAGCAGGGTGGGGGTAGATTTATTTGTGACTGCAGACCCCTTGAGAGGCAACAAGAAGACAGACGCACAAACAGGTAGCCAGACAGGTAGAGAAACAAAGCCTATTGACTTTATGGAAAGTCACACACTGTTTCCTACGCTTTGTTTTTATTCTCCATTCATTGTCACATTGGTTCACGGTTTGCAATAAAAAGCAGTCGATGAATTTGACAATACAATGCTTGATTCATGAAGAAACAAAAAGAGCAGGAGATCTGTATTTTGCTGTAATTTTCTTACTGTGGCCCATTAAAGTCAGTGGTTGAACAATAAATACTAAGTATTGTTCCTTTTAACTCGGTTTGTTTTGGTACTTTTGGCGCAATGCCAGTACACCTTTTCATCGATCCAACTTCATTTGATTCATTTTCTGTTTTTCCTCATTGATTTTGTGTGTGTGTGTGTGTGTGTGTGTGTGTGTTTCCTGTCTGTCTGATTTAACATCCCAGTCTTCACTCACTGAGGAAACCAAAACTTCCTTGAATGGCATAATTTTTGTTGTAGGAGATAAATTTTAGCAGTAGACTGCATCTGATATGACTGTCGCTATAAAACAAGGCTGATGATGGCTTAATAGAAGTCTGACTGAGTTATGCAGCCGGGAGAGACGCTGCACTGCATGTCATTGAGGTAATCAAGTAGGTACCTGCTGCCTCAGATGACTCATTGGATTACTGTCGGCCCAGACGAGACATCAGAAGGACAGGAAGTACAACAGAACAGCAGGTTTCTTGGTAGCATCTGCTGTAAATCACTCTGGATTAAAAGATGACTGCGGAAAATGTAGAACATAAACATCTAGGTTTAGTGTGGCTATTCGAGCGTGTAGTTAACATCAGTTTAATTTACTCTTTGTCGGCTCCGGTGACATGTGCTTCACACAAACCTGTTGATCTAAAGGCATCAGACCCCTTATCTATCATTGAGTGAATCATTTCCTGTTAGTATTGCATCAGAGATGAGTTTTCCTGATATTTCTAGCAACTTTTAATCAGATTCTCTGTCTGTATTATGTCTTTTTAGGCTTCTTTTTTGACAAATTCAGTGTTTCCTTCTGCCTGACACTCGGCCATTGTTGTACTTTTCTAATGCAGAACTGGGCTGTTAACGGTGCCCTTATCCTCTGATCTTATCCTAAGATAGAGGCATAAGGCATAGGTTTTCCTAAAAATATACACAGTAGGCCAGGTTGGGACTGAATGACTACTATAATGCACAGATTTTTCAGTATTCCAGCAGTTTAATGGGCATATTCGCTCCTTTTTCTTGTGGTGTTTTATTGTGAATCATCTGCAGGAAGTGTGAAGTTTTAACTACAATCCTAAAACACAGCAAAGTGGAAGTGCTTGTAAATAAATGTTGAATGAAAACGATATTTTTGTTGGAAAGAAAAAGCAGTAGATTGGTGAGAATTGTACTAGTAGAATAAGTGCTGTGGAAATGTATTATGTACTATGGTCTTACTGTATCTTTTTACCATGCATTGTTATGTGAAGTTAATACATTTTGACATTGCACTTATCCACAGTGTGATTTCAAATGTATTTCAGAAAGTCTAAGCCACGTTATTACATGCTATTCAAATGCAGTTACTTCAAGTTGTGTCTGTCTTGGTCCATCTATCACAAAAATACATTTTAACCTGAGTGAGACAAGCTGAGTTTATTCAGAGTCATAATGTAATACTCGCCGCCATGTCAACAACATGATTGGATTTAGTGTTTTATTGAATTTACCGTGTGTCAAGTATAATTACTGTCCCCTTCCTCTCACTGTCCCTCGTGTTCCTCTGTTTCTCCTTCAGGTGAAGGGGGAGGAGGGAAATTCCACGGTGTCGACCTCCTCCAGCACTCCCCATCCCCATCCCCCTCTCCAGGGGACCCCTTCCCCCACCAGCCCCGCTCCCTGGAACCTGTAACGGACACCTTCCACCAGAACCTCCCCCTGAGGAAGACGCACTCTGACCTCGACACAACCTTACCTGCAGGTGTGTGTGTGTGTGGCCATTACCCTCCTCCAATGTCTTCCCAGTTTCTTCTTTCTTGCACTCCCATGGCGCAGATCTTGTTACCGCTCATGTAAACTGCACACTGCCTTTAGCCAAGGGCAGAAAACAGGGACAAGAAAGTAGAAAGTCACCACAAAATTAAATATCTCCACTCATTAAACTCCAGTGTCGGCCAAAACTCTGCTGGCGTTTTTAGAAACCTTGAACTTTTTTGGCTACAGTAACATTAATTTTCCTGCACAAGATGTTTGCAGATTTGATTGACATAATTTTCTGCTTTTTGGAGCAGGAAAAAAAAAAATCCCTTTTCATTTGATACCTTGGGGCTTGGGAGAAGGCAGAAATGGGACCATGTCAGCTTCCTTTTCTATGTTTTTGTTTGTGTCGATTCCCTTAAATGTAGCTTTGTTACTCACTTAAGATACACAAAACATCTTAATCACTTTAATTTCTCCTTTTCTTCTAACAAATTTTGAATTTAACAGAGATTATTGCTGGGTTTAATAATTTATTTCCCTTATATTTGCAGTAATCTGTTTTTGCTCAGTTAAGGACTTTGTTGCCGGCAGCCAGGATCTTTTAATGCCTAATTGGTTTATTCACTGCAACAGGGATGCTCAATCGCAGGGTCTGAAGGGTTCATGTAAACAGTTTAACCTGAATAAGGCCTTAATTGTGGACAAGTGAGAAAAGGCAGATTGTCTAAACATGTGTTTGACATTTAAAAAAAAAAGGATTTCAATTGATTTTAATTTAAAAATGAAGATAAACTTTAACGGTACAACATTTATGTAATTTGTTACGTGACCCAGTCCAATCATTTTCTAACCTTATTTTAAATCCTGATTCACTGCAGACCATGGCCTCTTTATACTGTCTCCACAGCCTTTAATAACCAATCACAAAATGGGTCAAATCATAAGAATACCAGAGACAAGACATTCAATAATTAACCCAAATGCATGAGTCAAAATACAAACATAAAAGAATCAACATTCACATATAAAACTGAATGCAATGGATCTTGTGTTTCCTTTGTTTATTGTCTGAAGGTCTTTGACCAAAGTCTTTAAAAAAAGTTTTTTGCTGACAGCAGGAGTCCATAACTTCCTTTCAGAGAACAGATATAAGTTAACTGGCAACTTCAGAGCGTGTAGTGTGTGTAAAGGACATATTGCTTTTATCGGACAGTGAACTTCATGCTGTCAAGGGTGATAAACTCTGTTCTTACCTTTATATTTTAAATTTTTAAGGGGGTTGTATCTGCCATAAAGTCAAAATGTTCAGCTAGATAGAAGCTGTGCAGTATTTATGGTCAGGTGGACATTTTTATAGCATCTTTCTAGTCTTCTAACCAGTCAAAGTGCTTTACACTACATATCATATTCACCCATTCACACCCATACACTGATGGCAGAGGCTGTCATTCAAGGTGCCAACTGCCCATCATTCTCACACACACAGTCAAAAACCGATGGGAGCAGTTTGGGACACTTACTCAAGGACACTTCAACATGCAGATGGAGGAGCCAGGGTTCGAACTGTCAACCCACTCTACCTCCTGAGCAAAAGCTGCCCTTGATGAGTTTAGTTGTATTAATTCTCCCTCTTCCCCGTCTCCTCCGCAGATACCACTTTGGGGCAGCGTGCCCCCGACCAACTTCACCCAGGAACTATGGACCACTCTGGGCTGCTGTGCTCAAACACACCCTCTGCTTCCTGGAACGGACCTAAGGGCTCCACCTTTTCTCCTGGAGCGTGGAACGAGCCTTACAATTACAGCATGAACAAAGGCCCCGCCGTTCCACCCAAACAGCACAGCATTATCGGTAATGCAGGAGGAGGGACGCATGACGGGGTGATGTTGGTGAGCTCAGGACAGTCGGTGAGCTCACATTCCAGTTCATTTACGTCAGTGACAAACCTTTCTGGGAGAGGAGGGAATAACATGCCAGGGATTTCACTGGCAGCAGCGATGATGGGCAAGCGGAGCGAGACAGAAGGGGCTGCTGCAGACGGAGGGAGAGGAGGAGGAGGAGGGGGGGGAGGGGGAGTTGGGGAGACGGCGAGAGGGCGGGAGAGGTCGGCACGTTCCATAGCAGCAGCGAATGCCTTCAAGTTCCGGGAGCGTTCCCTTTCTACACCCACGGATTCTGGTTCCTTCTGCTTTACAGAAGGTGGTTTAGGCCAGCCGGACAGGAACATTTTATCTACAGGGAACGGGAATGCTATGGCAATAACTGACCACCAACAACAGCATCATAACTTCCTAGGTTTGAGTGAGAACTACGCCCTTCTCTACCCTAGGGGGAGCTCCGAAGACAGTGCCAGTACCACAGACACAATCTCTGTCACAGCTTCAGATTATAGTGCAGATGGCCGCTTGCGCCTACGCTCCCGCTCCATCTCACTTAAGAAGTCCAAGCGCAAGCCGCCACCTCCTGTGAGGAGCGTCTCTCTCATGAAGAACCTCGGAGAAGCTGAGGGGAGAATCCACCATGACGGTGGTCTTTACCGGGATGGCCGACCAAAGAGTCTACACATCCCCAGAGATCATTTCCCAGACTTCCAGCCCGATTTCCTCCTGCCCAGCTCAACCTGCTCCTCTAAACCCAGTGTTAGTGAGCGGGAGCTGGTCCATGGTGGCCCTGATGGACCTCCTAGCCTGGAGGTCCAGGCTCCAGACAGGGAGGGAGAGACAGAGCTGACCTTCCCTACCCACTGGCAGCTGGGAGAGTGGAAGAATGACCCTTACAGGTACAAAATTAAACTATTTTAGTGCCTTATTTGCTCCGGTTTAAATCTATCTTATTAATTTTCTAATTAAGTATTCCCTCTCTCTTTTTACAAATACATTGATTTCTTCTCTTTTCTTTTCTCCAGGTCTCTATCGGGCTCCAGCACAGCAACAGGTACCACAGTGATTGAATGTATGAAAGTCAGAGGCAGCTCTGAGTCCCTGCTTGATTCTCCTTCCACCTCCAGAGCCACCTCACCCTCACAGCTCTCCATGGAAACTGACATCAAAGCATCCTCGCCCTTCAAACCCCCAGGACTTATGTCCCCATCAAGTGGCTATTCCAGCCAGTCCGAGACTCCCACCCCAACTGTTCCACTCAGCCATATGGCAGGTCACGGGACAGTAGGGACAACAGGGACATTAGGGACATTAGGATGCAAGTTGCGGCCGAAGATCCCAGAAAGGAAGTCATCGCTACCATCACCCAAGGACCCGGCTGCAAGGTCTAGATTGTCCTTTGAGATGCCTGGGAATGCACATCTGGAGCTTTCATCAATCAAGCCAAAGCAAAAGGCCAGCAGACGGCATTCTGACACCTCAACAGCGGCAAAACCGGGAAAAATCAGCCCCAACTCGTCACAGGCATTGCCTGTGGTTACCCAGAATGAGCTGAAGACTATTCGGCTTCGCTCTGTCTCTCGTGGAGACTTGGAGGATTGTCCTGATGGAGCGTCTGACACCATTGAAGAAGAACAGCATGGGCGAGACCTAGGCGAGGACCCCAGCCCACCACCCACCCTACCAAAACCCAAACCACCTGTTGCTGTCAAGCCCCCGTTACCCAAGCGGCCCCTAAACCTCCTCCTCAAGTCTCCTTCCCCCTCCTCCACTTCTCCCCAAGCCCTTGACTCACCTCCTGGCTCACCTGTGGACCGGCCTGTGCCCCTAGGCAACATATACAAAGTGATGAAAAAGCCCAAACCTAAAAAACCTATACCACAGACTCAAACAAGTACCTGCGTTCTCCCAGATTCTATCACAGCTCCACATACTGCCTATGACCATCCATTCCTCCCCCACTCCCAATCCCTCTTTGATCTCCCTCCTCTTCCAGACCCCCAGCCTCTCCTTGAAGACCCAGTAATGGAGCCTGAATTTGAGGCAGACCCAGAGATCCGTCTTGGTCCTGGGGATGGAGGCTCACTCCCCTCTCCCTGCAGTAACCAGGAGGCCCCGGAGCTTCAGGACAAGAGCAAGACACTTCCCACAAGGATGACAATCTCCTGTCTGGCAGAGCTGTCAGACAAAAAGAAACCCAAGGTGAGGCAGACATCTTTCAGAAAATGCTACACATTTTAGAGGTTTCCTTGTGGTGTAAGGTAATCAATGTCTTCATTTTTAAGAACTTGTCCTCATAATTATTGCCATACTGATTTGATATTAAAAATGTTCCAGGTTCCACCACCAGTCCCCAAGAAGCCAAATGTCCTGCTTCTTCCCTCATCGACCCACTCCTCGACCAATGGCAGCACAGAACGACAGACGCCACAGACCGACAGCCCTGTTGGTCTTCGGTCTCCCATAGGAGCATTTTCGCCTGAAGAGTTTCCCAGTACTCCTAGTGTTCCCGATATGCCAGAGCAAGATGAGAACCACTTGGAAACAGATGAGGAGAGTTCAAAAGAGTCATCTTTGCAGGATTCCTCCCTCACAGAGCTGGGAGGGAAAATGGCCAGCACTGGCATTGGGGCAGGTATGTCTCAAGAGAGGGTTTCAGAAATTTGTCCAGACTAGGGTCACAAGATATTTAGAAATAAAGTCAGATTTATCCACATCATGCATTACTCACCATGTTTTTGTATATTAAACATGTACTTTACAGACTCATGCTCTCACAACTAAACTGTAACTCTAACATTACTTTAAACATTTAAAAGACACTGACAGAGTTGAAGAAACATGAAAAATTAGTACCTCACCTAAAGCTCATGTTTTGAAAAGCAAATTCTTACCCCGAAGGCTCGAAAGGTGATTTTAAAAGGATTGTTGCTTGGTCTTTTGCAGAGGAGCGGCTGTAGCTAGCTTAGCAACAGCAGTTGCAATGGATTCCAATGTGATCCCATTTCACAGTGAAATAAAAAGATTAAAATGTCACTCTTGCTCCATATGTGTGCTCAGGTGTGTACTAAACCTTCACATTTATGGCAAATGGCTAACAGTGTTCATTTCTCACTTGCAAAGGGAGCTTTTTGCTTTTATCATTTATGTAAATGTAGTTTGATGCGACAAAGGTCAATAGCTAACTGTGCTAGGGTCAAATGGAAATGCATAAAGCCATGTTTTGATAAAAAAAATATTAGTCTTTTTTTATGTAAGTATGACATTTGATCCATTCTTCATCAAAAAGCTTTCTTTTCCATATTTTAGGTACAGAATATTAATCATGTCGCTAGCTAGCAGTGAGTTCATTTTGGTATCATCTGGAATGTTTCACTGTGTCTGTCTACTTTCAAGACTAGGTTGAAAAAAGATTAATGAAATAAGCTCTACCATACATGCAGTATAACACATATTGTGATGATAAATACAGTTTTATCTTAGTATTTTGACAGAAGCTTTTATATGCATGTGTTTAATGGTAGCCTGTCAGAGCTGTTACCTTTGATTGGGTTCCTTCCCTGCTGCGTTTGATGCGTAGCCTCCTGATTCTGCCAGAGGAGATTTCTCACGTTTGAAGCAAATCAAGCCCAATTGCTGTAAAATTGGACCAAATCAAAACACAGAGTGTTTCCCACTGTTAGTAACAGTGAAGATGACATTCATCATTATTATCTAATTATTACCTAATTCTGTATGTAACTGAGTCAGATTTACTTTAATTTCAAGGGACATACACATGTATTATGAATATTCGCTTCAGGAAAACAACCGCAAAGTCAGTACAAAAGTACGAATATGATGTATGAAATGAATTTTAACATGATGTCTATGATTTCAATGTCTTGCTCAGATGACTCTGCAGCCAATGAGAAGACCGTACTCCACATCGCCGAGGAAACAGATGACGACTTGTTGGCTAGCACACCTGCAACACACACCACCGAAGACCTATTCACTATTATTCACAGGTTTGCACAATATAGATACAATTCATATTTTACACATACAATACAATACTTTTGTTTTTACAAGCAGTAGATGCCTTTCCTCAAATGTTAAAAAGTGCATGACAGTCTGACAGTACACACTGATTCTTGTAGCACAAATGGTTTCAGCCAACACCAAGCTTTCCTGCCGGCTTATTATAAACCAGAGCATGTGACGAAAGACGTATTGTCTTGTTCAAAAGGTGTGAGGCGGACGGAGCATAAGGTTCCCTAGCAACGGCTACATGTATAGTGTGTTACTGCATGACCAGTGGCCCTTATTTTGTCCTTTTTTCAGAATCTCTCTCTCACACACATGCACAGAATCACAAGAAAGCTAGTCTCTAAGCAACAAGTGTTCATGATTTTACCTTGCATGATGCTGAAAATAGCTTGAAAGGCTGACAAGAGAAAGCGAGGAGGGAAAAGGAAGAACAGGAGTCAATGTTTTTATCTCTTACAAGAAAAATGGGGTCCCCTCTCTATTTACGTTTTTTATATTGTATAAATAAAAATCTGACTCATTTGGCTTGAGGAGTAAATTTAAAATTGAAACAGTTGCAAATGGTGAGTAACTACTTAAATGTGCTTGTTTGTTCAATTCTCTACCTTTGCTAATAACCTTCTCTTCTCTTTCTCTTTGCCCAGGTCTAAGCGAAAGGTTCTAGGTCGTAAGGAGCCATCAGACTCCTTCGGCAGCCGCCAGAGCCTCGTGTCCCCGGTGAAGCACAGCACCAGCGGTAGTGACCTCCGAAATCTAACCTTAGGCAGCAGTCAGAGGTCGAGCTCTCGCAATGAGAACTTCATGGCCCTGCTTCAGAAGAAAGGCAGCAAGTCTTCCAGCGGAGGAGCCAGAGTCTCTGCTATGGAGCTTCTCAAAAGCACAAACCCTCTGGCACGACGGGTCACAGAGTTTTCAACCACCTCGTCGACATCCGGTGAGGGAGGAGACGCAGTATCCGGGAATGGCAAACCCAACGATCAATGAAGAATTGTTAACGGACGTTAACTAGGTCCATTTGCTGTTGACAAACCTACCAACTAATCCTACAATTTGCAGATGGGGCCCTCTGACTGACATGTCCAACTGGATCGCTCCAACTACTGATTGACCATTTGCACTGTCCAATCAAATTGGAGTAAATTTTTGGACAAAATGGTCCCTCCCATGGTTGAAGCACCATTGTTCCCTGCCAAACCGGTCCCCGTAGGAAAGTGAAAAACCTGGGGAGAGCAAACTTTGTTCTCACTAGATTTTCAATGAAAGCTGAAGGTTTTAAGGTTGTGCCTCAACACTGCAGCGTGTTTTCCTCATTAAGGGATTCGTCAGTGTAGAAGCTGAGTCAATAGATGGATGGGATGAGTTGACATCGGGAATATAAGGATATACAGTGGATATCTTTACTCTAGAGTCCTTCTGGATGAAGACAACAAGAGTCCCTGATGATGACAATGTATATGAATTTGCAACCCATTATACTGATCCATTAGGATACCACAGAGGATCAGTAATCAAATGAGTCCATTAAATAAATGGAATAAAATACAGAAGATGTCAGACTTCCAAATGATTCGTCTACGATTCGACCAAAACCCTCCAAGCAGTAGCACTACAGTACAGACACCTGTAGACCTGCATCAATTGAAGGGTAAATTATTAATGGTGTGATGAGGCACATATGTCAAAAAAACCTTGGACATAATGACTGTGTCTTCTCTCTATGGTAAATGCAATACCATAGCAAGCATCAGCATGGCCATTCTCAGAAAACACAACATTCTGATTGGACAGACGAAGCGCAGGATTTACAAAGAGAAACCACATGGGGGCTTTTCGCCACCAAAGATGAGGCATGAGCATTTCGCAGATTTTGATGCTCGTGCTAGGAACACGAACGTGGACCTTCACGAAACATTCCACAGAAGCACCCAGCAAATGGACAACAATTTTGGAACGCAAGCACTTTTCTTTTAACTTGGCGTCGGAGGTCGTTTACATGGCGCAGCCTTTGCGTTGCTACATTTAATTCTCAAGACACTCATCAATCATTATTTTTTCAGTCTTTGTTTTATCGTATATTTTTTTCTACACATGCTAGATGGCCATATACTGTACATGTATAATTGGATTGTAATGTACGTATCATGTACAAAGACAAATGTCACGCATCTATCAACGACTATCATTTGCAGACACGAAGACTAAAAATAGTGTACAGAGCAGCAGGCAGCTTGGACTACAAACTGCCCACACGATGGAGGAAAAACACACACTCAAACACACACACAAAGGACTACAGAGTAATGCCATGGAAGACAAACAGAACAGACCTATCCAGTGTGTGTGTTCATACGAGTGTGTGTGGAGATGAAATCTTGCCTGTGGAGTTTCTGTACGGAGAGTATGAAGCAGGCCTGGTTATTAAACAGGGTTTTTATTCATCTTGGTCTCTGGTGACGGGACCAAAGGACTGTTAAAAACTACAAACAGACCAGAGGGGACCTAACGGTGTGTATGCTTGTGCGTGCGCTTGTGCGTGTTCATGTGTGTGTTTAGAGGGAAGTGCCAAGAACAAAGTGGGAGAAAGAGAGAGTGCAAGTACATGTGACTGTTTATGTGTTTGCCATTTTTTGTGTCCTCACTACATGTGCATATTTGGACTGGCACATATTTTGTGTGTGTGTGTGTGTGTGTGTGTGTGTGTGTGTGTGTGTGTGTGTGTTTGTGTGTGCATCGTCACCCCGCACTCCCACTCCCTTTTTCCTTGGGATTAGAATGACCGAAGCATTCTAATCCCCCCCTTACGCTCACACATTACGGAACTAGAGGGATTCTGGAACCCGAAGGGATTCCGGAACCAACAGGATTCCGGAACTAACAGGATTCCGGAACCAAGAGTATATCGGGAACCAATGGATTACACAAGCAAAAGGATTCCAGAACCCAAAGGATTCTGGAATGACTGGTAGAGTTTGGAATTCTGGAATGAGGGAGTCGTGGGACATTAGAACCCCACCAGGGAATTGGGAGACTGTCCACAGTGTCGCAGGGTGACGTTATGGGGCCGAATAGTTTTGTTTTGCCCTCCTCTGTGCACGTTTTCACACTCTGTCTCTCTCGTCTCAGAGGTGAGGTTGGCGGTCTGTGCCATCCTCCTCCTTTCCACTCGTTCCTCTCCTCCTTTCATCATTGCTGGAGCACACACTCCATCTGTCTCTCTGCATACAGCATCATCTCTCTCTTTCTCTCTCCTGTAACCTCTCTTCTGGCACATACAGTAGCACACTCTCTCTTTCTCCTTCTATACTACAACCTCTCTCTGTTTCTACACGTAGCATCGCCTCTCTATCCCTTTTCCTCGTTCTCTATCTTCCCACCACTGCCCACCTCCCATCCTCTTTTAACCTCTCCATCCAGTCCCCGACCTTCCCCCATTTTCTCTCTCTTCCTCCTCTCCACCTCTCTGCATTCAGTCTATGCATCTGAGCTCGGCAGACGACACGACACCGGATGAATGTCAATGAATGACTGTTAAGAAAATAGATGCTGTGCTTAGTTTGAGAGTGCAAAAAACATCTTTCTATCAACGCTTATCTTCTGCCTTCTCTATTTCTTGTTCTCTGAGTTTTTATACTTTTTTCTTTACCTTCCTTTTGACTATCCATGTAACATGGAATTAACATGGAGGGATGAATGAATGGATTTGTGCACAAACACGGAGACAGGCAGGGTTTGAATGTGTTTTTGCATAAAGAACCTTGCCTTTTGGACTGTGAACGAAACACCCTGTGGTCTTTGACCCCCTGACCGACCCTCAGTTCCTGATCACTGTGTGGACGGTCTGAGAACTTTGGATTAGCAGTGGTTCAGCTCTAACACCTGACTTATCCCCTGCATGGATGGACCATGTGGCGGGAGGAGGGAACCTTTCATCTCTTGACTCCCAGTCGGCAAACTATCCCTCGGTGCTATTGAGTCAGAGCTCCCCCTAGTGGATCGGAAAGGAGGAACCACACATAACAAAAAGAGAGTAAAAAAAAACTCCTTCACACACATCTCTCTTCCCTACAACAGTCCTTCAGGTATTCCATCACCCTGAGAAAAAAAGATGAAGATTTTAAAAATGCATAAATTATCACCATTTATGATGAATAGTCAAGTGACGCTTGTTTTAAATATTTAGTGAATGAAAAAAAGATAAACCTATAAAATTCTGTGTTTGTTTGCCTTGTATACTGAATTATGGGCGTGTTGCTGCAGCGCCTACTGTGTTTTTATTTTATTTCATTATTTTTTTATTTCAGCTGCCTTGATAGTACACACACAAACACAACCTTTGCTAAATCTGGTGAAAATAACAGTGCAGGTGTAAAAAAGAGCATTTTATGTTTAATCTGACCTGTAAAGAAAAGTCTAGAAATCTGGTGTTACCAATGATGCGTGCCTCACATATCTTAAGTATTTATCAAACAAATATTTGCCCAAATCTGCATTCATATACAGGTATGCAGAGTAGTGGCAGTGCAGTGATATTTTTCCTCTTTAGAGCAATATCCCTCAGAGCGATCACGTATCTGAGATCAGATAAGTGAAGCTGGAAGGGAGGACCGCTAGATCAAAAAAACTACAAAACTTTATTTGAACTAAACCCACATATTTTGTTCAAAACAGAGTGGGAACAGAGAGATACGAGTACAGTGTTAGGAGAGAGTGTTGTGTCAGCACAATAATTACAGGAATAGTTTCTTGTTAAAAAGTAATATGTGGTGTGTAGACGCTGCGTGCATCTAAAAATTTTGCCGTAAGAATGTGTCACTTTCAGCGTGTGTTCAGGCTCAACAAACCACAGTGTTGTTTCACTTGTTCCTTGAGTAGACAGATGGCAGATATCGTCAACATGGCACATTTGGTTCGACAGTTTTTAATAGGGAAGTAAGTGGGTACAAACAAACAAAGAAAACATGGGTATACTGGTAGAAAAAATGGTCCCTTTTGTGGGGATACAATCATTTAATATTGAAAAGAACATGTCATTTTTGTGTAGTTTTACAAATATTTCTAAGATGCAGAAATAATCTCATTGGTTATTAAATCATCAATAGGCGGAGCCAAAGAACATGCTGGGACATTACTGCCAACTTGGTGCCATATTTTTGCTACTTTTTACTTCTACTAACAACAAACTTACTGATCATGGGAAAAATTGGCCCTCAGTGTATTTGGTTGAACCCTCAGCTCTTCTGGAAATCTGGTTCCCTAAAACAGCCTCTCCCATTTGAGATTTAACCAAACCGATGAGAATATTTGAGCTCAAAGAGAGGCTCTGCCTCCAAGAAATATCTGTAGATAATTACTAATCAGATATGTTGACAACGTATTATATTGAAAATGACATTTCTATAAAGTGTGAAAAGAGAGCTGACAGGAGAAATATATTGAAAATTTAATCCATTATCCCTTCTGTAGGAGGACAAGTAGGGAAGAGAGGTAGGAGGGAAAATGAGGGTGTGGAGCAAAGGTTTGATTCTGCTGAATGCGGGGATTACCACCACATATTCCATCATCTTTTCCTTCACCTCCTCTCTCCCTTCTTCTCAGCTGTCGTGTGACTCAGAGGAGTAATCATGTTAAAAGCTTTTCCCTCTCTCTCACTCTCTCGGTTTTCTTCCCCACAAAGTGATGAAGCGTGTACAGAGTGCTGCGATCGACCGTTAATTAATTTGGTTTAATTTTACAGTCAGTCTCCGCAGATACAGAACAGCAAAACAGCAACCTTAGACATAAATAAAAGCAGTGCGGAAAAAAGTTACCAGTTAAGTTGGACACTTGGGAGTTCATGCAAGGATAATTTCCTCTAAAGCCAACAGAAAGATCACAGTTTATCTGAATAAGCCAAACAACGCTTGTGTGAATAAAGTGTTTACAGTCATTTGTTAGTATAATGAATAGAGCTCCTAAAACGAGACCAAATGCCAGACCAGCATAAACAAATCAAACATCCCATCAGATAAACAGTCGACCATAAGTTATCCAAGTATTTGTAAAAGACTAGAATAGAATCTGTCAAAGACCAAAACAGCTACTACAGTAGTCAAAACAATTATTTTACCACTTTACTGAGAAATCTACTACAAGTGGAGAAAAAGCTTTACAATAAAAACACTGGTTCATATTTAGTAAAACCACCAGAGCAGATATCCGACCCAAGAACCTGAGAACTTAACAGAGAACGTATCACATTTGGTGTCAGGTTCAGGTCATTTTGTTGTTTAAGAACTTCTTGTTTGGTTCGGGTTGGATCCAGTTTGGTTAATTTCCGACATAATTTATCAAGAAATTTCTCTTTTAGTAGTCTGCACAAGTAGATACACAATGTCCAGTGAGAAGACAAAATGTAGCCAATGCTTCACACTCACTAATGTATGAAATAAGGCAAAAAACATAGCTGTAGCTTTGGGCGTCAGGTCAGATTTGGGTCTCAGTTTTTGGGCAGAACTCTACCTATAACACAAAACTTAAATATTTTAGCTTTAGTTCACCATAATAAAGTGGTTCTCAACTCAGAGCCCCAGAATATCACATTTGAAGAATTTTAAAGCAATACAAGTCTCCAATTTCAACGACCTGCTCACTGTAATCCACAGACCTCAATTTAGTTGAGAACTACTTTCTGCCAAATTACACCTGCCACATGTTAATCCCCAAGATATGCTCACAAGGAGCTCCGGTGGCTATTACAAGTAACTAATTTTTTGGAAAACTGTTGCTGTTGAGTGTTTCAGATGTCACCCTTTTGTTGCTTTGGGTGCAACAAACTAAGAAACAAAAGGATAACGATACCAGTATCAGTACCATTAGTGGGATACTGTTACCAATATAGTTCTTAATCAGATACCTTGTGTCGAAGAACCATCCACCCAGAAGTTTTCTCCAGACGACTTACTACTACTGGTACTGTGTATATTGTTGATATCGCAAAGGTATCGAGTACAGATATCCAGCCCTACAACAAACCCAACTCTGATTGAGTTCCACGGACATGTGGTGAGCTACAACTAAAATCACTAATCACACTAAAACTTCGCCTTGCTGGAGCCTATTAATGGGCTATAAACTGTCCCTTTTTGAGTGTGGTGCAGCTTCATGAGAGAGTGAAAGAGGGTGAAAACGAGCAACAGCGAAAGAAGGGTAATGGTTGCAGATTTGGGCCAAAGAGTTATCTTGCATTTGTTTCAGGAGTGCCAGATGGGGGTTGGGTTTACAGTGTTGAGACATTTCAGGGGTACTTTGGAGTACGGCATGCTGCCCATCACAAAAACTGACATCCTCTGCTGGTAAAACCCCCCCTCCTGTGCCTCCAAGCAAAGTAAAACAAACCCCCAAACATAATTTTAACCCCTAATTCAGGGGCTGTACAGGCAGCTTATAAAGACATAGAGATGATAATTAGAGAGAGACATAGAGAGAGAGACAGACAGAGTTATTGGAATTATTCTATTTTTGTTATTCCCCATTGAAAAAGACATATTTAAAGGAATATTCCGTGTATGTATTGAATAACCTCTGTTTCCCCCGCCCCATCCAGTGGTGTGATCTGTGGCTGCGAGGTGGCGTCACACACAAAACGCCTCCCTCTGCAGCTATACAATGCCAATGTGATGAAATTATTATATCATTATAAATAAATTATTTTTCTTGCTTAAAAAAACAAAATGAATGTTTTGTTTGTTTGCCTTGTTGCTGGTGCCGCGTGCCCAGCTAGTCTTCAAGGTTACTTTCTTAATTGGTATTAATGAGTTTCCCCGGAGAGGCAACAACAGTTCTGTTAATTGGGTGTTTCTGTTTTTCATGATGAAGCACGAGACGCCAACCAAAACCTCTTGATCCGAAGTTGAATTATTATTTACTTATTTAGGCCATTTTGTCTCACTACTGTGGATGTTAATATAGCAGAAGGTGGTTTATGAGAAGGAAGTGTTCCTACAACGGACCAGATTTCATATTTGTTTCTTATTAAATACAAAACCTTGAACATCCTTTTGGACACATTTGGACATGTGGAATCCTGTTGGTCCATCCATGTAGTTTGAATCTCAAAATGGGGCTCAGACTTGTCTCAGACCATTGGTCTCACCCAAGTCCAGCAATATATGTTTTTTATATAGTTTTCTGAAGTAAATTCCTCCTTCAAAACAAAACATTAATGAAGCCCACTTGGTCAGAAAATGGGTATTGGTTCAAAATCCATCAAGAACAGGCACTGACCATAGAAACCAGCCTGGTAACTATGTCACTTACAATCATATTCCTGCCTGCCAAAACTCATCTCATCGGCAGTGCTAAAAGCATTATTTTATTTCTGTCCCAATCTTAACGAGGTCTTGACAAAGGTGGACCTGACTGAGACTCCAGATTAACCTGTCATGGGGCCCCAGAGCAAGTTGCCCCCTCTAATGAGACCAGTATGTAAGTGTGATGTAGAAACTTGAAGCCACCAGTGCACAGACACTGAGAATGGACACTGAAGTATGGGAGACATCTTGTGTCCAGCAGGAAAACTTGAGGTTGCATTATATCAAGAATGTTAGAAAAAACACACACTTCATTTAAGGGTTAATAAAACACAAGACTGAATTTAACTTTATATTGATTGTTTGAATAAAGTGAAACCACATTATTAAATGCAAATACTCTAATTCCTATAGAAGAGCTTTTTACAACCATTTACAAACTGCAACAGATTATTAATTGATAAAAATCAAATATTGATAATGTAAAAACCATCTTTGGACAATATGTGGGTGAAATTCTCCTTTAATCTGTGACTCCAGATTAGTGCTGCACATGTTTTTGGTTATTTAGAAGCATCTGCTTGCATGCAGGCTTGAGTCTTAAGTCGTGTCTGTGTCTCCGTGAAGAATGTTCATGCTGTTGTAGCTTCTGTTTTCATAATCAGCTGCACTCACCTCCAAGACGCAGCGAGTCACTGCGAAAACAAACTCACCTAATTACCTGTCCCAGTCTTCTCTGGGGTTGTGCGTGTGTGTGTGTGTGTGTGTGTGTGTGTGTGTGTGTGTGTGTGTGTTCCTGAACTGCTATCTTTGTAAGGACCAATTACAGTATTACGCTTCGTGAGGACATTTTTTCTGAACGGTTTGAGGCTTGGTGTAAATTATATTTAGGTTAGCATTAAGGGGCTTTGGATGCATTATGGGCCATGAGGGTCCTCACAAGTATAGTGTGTAAAGTCCAAATTTGTGTGTGTGTGTGTGTGTGTGTGTGTGTGTGTGTGTGTGTGTGTGGATTCAGGTGGGCTATCAAGTCTGCTTCTGCAAAGTGCTTCATGTTCTAGTTCTGTAATGACATCCTCCAAGTTAATTGCATCCTTCCTCTTCAGGCACACACATCACACACACACACACACACACACACACACACACACACACACACACACACACACAGAGAGACACACACACACACACTTAGACACACATGCACACAAACACTTTTACTTGTTGTATCACTGTTTTCTTATTGGGCTCTAGAGCCACCTAGTGGGTATTCATAGTCAGTGCAACCTTCTGCAGGATGTCGAAAATGAAAGAAATTACACATAAAATCATAGAAATCATCATAAATATAATAAACTGTTTATGTGAAACACACTCTGATTAATAAAATCTTTGCAGTAATAAATGACTGGTAAGTCTGAAGCTGAAATTATTTGATAAAAGTGTTTAAGGTTTTTGATATTTAAACATTTTGTTGTCTTTATCGGAACCCTTCCTCCCCTAAAGTGAATCCACATTACATTTACATTCATTTATTTATTAGATATTTCTGTCCATATTGCAACATATAAACAAGTTACAACCCAAACCAGAGTAGATCCAGGAGCGGGGCTTTTAGTCACCATACAAAGTTACAATACTAGACGCTATAGATTCAATGCAAAACTTAAAGCAAAACCACCTTTATGTCACCAGTGGCAGAAAGTACATCACTGAAGTACAACTTTGAGGTTATTATACTTCACTTCAACTTTATACTTCTACTCCACAACATCTCAGAGGCGAATATTTTTACCATTTTACTACTATTACTATTGTCTGACAGCTTTAGATACTTGTACCCTGGAGTACACATGAGCGTCAATGCAATAAGGTGAGAAGTGAAACCAGTCTTAGAAAGAAACAGTAAGAACAAATGTTTTAAAATGTTTTAGATTTTTCAGTTTTCTAGATGAATTTTTAACACCGAGCATCAAATAGGATTTCTTTAAACTTGGACAGAAAGAAATTAAATGGAAACAAATATAAGCTGAACCATCACACTGATGATAGCATCATACTTTAATGCGCATGTATGGTCTAATTCAGATAATGTGGCGTAAACAGATTTAAATGAGTTTATAGATATTAGTAAAGGTTGTGAACCGTGAGCACTTAAAAGCCGGTCATGTGTGTGTGTGTGTGTGTGTGTGTGTGTGTGTGAGTGAGTTACAGCAGAGTGATTGCTTTAACAGCCTCATGATAAAGTGCTTCAGTTTATTTACAAACCCCCCCCACACACAACACATACTATACACACACACACACACACACACACACACACACACACACACACACACACACACACACACACACAAACAAACACTGGGGAAGGTTCTCTCATCAGGGCCAAACTACCAAGCTCCACTCTTCCTGTTTCTGACAGCAGAGAGCATGCCATGTTATCTATGACACACACACACACACACACACACACACACACACACACACACACACACACACACACACACACACACACTCACACGCACACACTCACACACACACACTCACACGCACACACACAGTGGTAGCCGCGGCTAGAACAGGAAGTGCTGACAGCAATCTGCAATCAACACAGAGAGACAGAAAGAGTGCGAATGAGAAATTAACTTCTCCCGCCGCTGAAGCACTTTTCTAATAAAAATATGTTTCTCAAATTAGGATATTTAGAAAACAAAGAGGAGAAGAAAACGAAAGAGACACTAAAGAAAAAGAAGAAGAAGAGAGAGAGAGAGGAAATCCGCTTTATAAAGCCAAGGAGTGGAGAAAAAACAGAAACAGGGGAGCTTAAATTGCACTGGAAGGGGAAAAAAGAGAGGAAGTGGAACCAAAACAGAAAAAAAAGGGTGGGATGCGGGACTGAAGTCATGTGGGGAGGAGGAAGAGGGGAGGAGAGAGAGAGAGGGTGAGGAGGGGAGGAGTAAGAGCAAGTGCAGGAGAGAAGAGGGAGTAGAGGGAAGCAGTAACATTAGGAAAGAGCAGCAGAAGGAGAAGAAGGAGAAGCTTTTATTAAGGTTTTTTTTTTTTTTTTTTTAAAGATCCTGATTATTTGGAGTACCTGTAAAGGACGAGGAACAGCCACACACACACACTTACACACACACACACTTACACGCACACTTACACACACACACTCCTGACTGATGCTCCTGCTGGATGGACCGACGCCGTTCACATCCACATCGTCTCCTCCACCTCCAGCTGTGCACGTAGAAGATCGACCTCTGCGACCAGACATGCATTTCTACTATGTGGTGGGTAACACATGGGCCTGTGCATGTGTGTGTGTGTGTGTGTGTGTGTGTGTGTGTGTGTGTGTGTGTGTTTGTGTTTCTTGTTGCCATGCAACCATTTCTTTTATTTTATGTGTAATTTGCTGACAGGCTGTGAAATGAAAGAAGAAGCTCGTCTGTTTCTTGCTCAAACTCAGAATACAATACAAAGAATCCTTTCTGTGAAGGAAAAGTGTGACTTTAGTGAAAACTGTTGATTTCAGCTTTTTAAAATCCACTCATTAAGTTAATTTAAAGGCCTAAAACATCAAATTAAAGATCAAAAAGAAGCAGAATCCTTGTGATTTAAAGTTAAAGGTCTCTCACTAAGCACTGGTTATCAGTCAAAGGCAGTTTGTCGTTCTTTGATCATCCATGTTTTTTTATTGCGCTGTCATTAAACTCAGCCGGACTTCTCGGTACTCATAAATTATTCCCATGAATAATCCTCCAACTTTGCTGTTACACCCAAACACATTATTGAAAAGGCAAATCAAACTTCTGGTCTGCAGAATGAACACCCCCCACCCCCCAACCACACACACTTTTGGATTTGCAATCAAGGCTTTGCTTCTGTTTCTTTCATAGCTGTGGTCCCACAAAAAACCCCCCAAAAATCCAATCAGTTGTGCCTCGGCTCAGCGCCTATCTGTCCTCCAAAGTTGTGGAAGGAAGGGAAAAAGAAACACAGCCACAAGCAAAGGTGGAGTGAGAGAGTAGCACGGTGTAGTTATGGATTCTGATTGCAGGAAAATTAGGATTATTTCTGGTTACAACCACGAAAGAAGTGGTGATTGTTTTCCAGTTGCGTGGAAACGTGGAGTAAATTTCCTGAAAGCTTGTAATTCTTCCCCCACCTTTTTTTTTTCCTCCCCTCGTTCGTATGTTTACGCCTCAAGTATGGAAAGGTAATGTGAAACTACAGTGAATGGACATAATCTTAATATAACTCTGAAGAAGAAGTTGATTTAATGCGGTCATTTTAATGGGAAACATCTTTATATTAAACTTTAATGGAAGAATTAGAGGAGCTCTCTTCTTACCAGGTTCTCCAAACTAATGATATTACTGTATGATACTGTATTGTAATGACACAATACGACACAAATCA